TTTTTTGGTGTGGTACTGGAGATTGAACTCAGGACCCTGCACTTGCCAGACAAACACTTATTCTACTGAGCTATCTCCCTGCCCCCCCTTATTAAATGCTGTTCTTTAAAACCCGTTCACACCAAGATCATGTCTATTTGATGGGAATTGAATATAAAATGTCTTCAGAGGTCACAGAAAGATACAGATTTTCTTTTTCCAAAGCAGACATTTATGCTTTTTAAAATGTCTTAAATTATATTTGAGTTTTCCCGTGCACCCATACAAAATCAGTTCATAGCGTGACCTTGACATTCCCAGGTACTTCCCAGATGGCAATAGGAAGTTGCAGACAGACCCATCACAGTTTCAGCTTTTAAGAATAGTCTTTCTAATGCACCAGTTATAATAGTCATTCCCTACATTTGCTACCACAAGTGAATTAGGTATAGGGATGATAAAGAAAGGTTATTTTGTATTCTGCAAAACAAATTTGTTGCCATTCTGCTAGCGAGCCATAAGCTGTTTCTCTGCCATCTGCTCTCATGGAGGTCTTCGCTTTTCTCTGTGATGAGAGTCAATCTGAGTGACTGTCTTTGAAGTTACTCCATATCGTTGTGCTTTTCCTTTCTCTACTTGACCTTGGACAAGATCTTTTGCTTTCCTTGAGTTCTGCGCAGGCTGGGCTATGTTAGTCTTGCTGACCTCTTGAGGTGGAGCAGTGAAGCCCTGCTTAGCGTGGAAACACCGCTAGACCTAGAAGACCTCAGCACTTCCAGCTGTTCCCACGCAGCACGAGGGCACAGACGGGTTTCTGAGTGCTCCAAGCCAGCAGAGAATTGAGCCTGTTCCTGTTTCGTAGGCTGGACCTCCCTCAGCACGAAACCAATTCTAAGTGCCTGCCTGACAAACTAGAACATTACGTTACCCAAAATAATAAACTGGGAAAAACATAATGTTGTCAGGCAGTGGAGTAGTGGAAATATTGTCCAAATATTTGTGTAACAAGTATGCTTATGAGTATATATATATTTTTTTTTCTGGATTTTGGGCCCTGGGATGTTCATTTAAAATATGAATTTCAAGGGCCAGCCAAGTAGCTCAGCAGACTAGAGCACCTGCTTAGGCAGACGCAGCGGCCAGGATTCAGTCCCCGGCCTGCAGTGCTGGCCCCGCCCCCTGGGGTGTGCTGAGACTGCAGTTGAGACTGGGCATGGTGGCACATGCCTGTAATCCCAGCACTCAGAAGGCTAAAAACAGGCAGATTACTACGAGTCCAGTCTACGTATTGAGGCCCTGTACACCATGTAGACCCTTACTAAAAATACAAAAAATAAAATAAAATACATGAATTTCAGGGGCTGGGGAGATAGCTCGGTGAAATAAGTGCCTTCCTGACAAGTGCAAGGACCCAGATTGAATCCCCGGTACTACCTGCCATGCCAGTCCCAGAACTGGGAGTGGTGGCGCCCACCTGTAATCCCAGCACTGGGGAGGCTGAGACAGGAGGATCACTACAAGTCCGAGCTGTGTAGTGAGACCCTGTACCAAATAAATAAATAAAAGATTTAAAAAATTAAAATACGAATTTTAAAGATAAAAATACAGGTGTAAATCAGAGTTTCATTTATAACTGTTTGAAATTGAACAAGTCATTTATTAACCTTTCTGAATCTGTTCGCTGTTATGTTAAAATTGAGCTAACAGCACCATCTCAAAAGGTGAATGTTGTTGTCACCAACAATGATGACATCAGATGAGAGATACAAAAGCACCAGCACAGTGCCTAGCGTGCAATAGACACAAGTGGATGAAAGTGAGGACTGATTCTGCCTTTGACCGTTCATTTACCAATCTTAGCTCCTGCTTCTCCGCTCTCCACAGTGAATGTGGAAGAGGTACGAGGGTGTGTATTTGCATAGAAATATTTTCAAACATCTCAGTGGCCATTTCTCATTTTACCTACCTGAATTCTTTTCATTGAAGATAGCTTTTGCAGTGGCCAGATACCCAGAATAATAGACTGGGAAAAACATAATGTTCTGGTTTCTTAAAAACCATGTCATGAAAAAAAAAAAACATGTCATGAAAAATGGACAGAAGTTCTACTTTTTTTTTTTAATGTCTTTTGAAACAGGGTCTTGCTTTGCAGTTCAGGCCTTCATTCAGCTCACGTTGTAGCCCAGGCCTGTCTCATACTCGCCGTGATCCTCCTGCCTCAGTCTCCGAAGTACTGGCATTACAGGCATGAGGCACCATGCCGAACAACAAAAGTTTTGTTTTTTTGTTTTTTTGCGGAACCAGGGATTGAACTCAGGCCCCTGTGCTTGCCAGGGAAGCGCTTATTCCACTGAGCCATCTCCCCAGCCCAAACAAAAGTTCTTATAAGTGATTTTTACAACCTGTGTGGTTCCAATCCAAGATGATGACACTGACAAGATGACCGAGATGG